AGAAGCATCTTGTCAGGACTGGGTTCTATTCCAGGTACCAAATTATGTGGAGAAAATGCGATCTGTTCAACTTCAGCAAAGTAATTCTCTGGATTTTTGTTTAATGTGAACTTGCCAACTGGTATCAATGGGAACTGTTCATGAGCCCAAACCTGCAACAAAAAGGACAAAATTACTAATTCCTCCTTCAATCATATGTCAAGACAAAAGAATGTATTTAGTACATCTCTGGAATACATGCACATTTCCTCATGTTTTATCCCTTTAAACATGATGCAAGCACAGAAAACAAATTGTTGATATGCCAGAAAATTTTGCATGCTTCAACCTTCCTCTTTCACATGACAACACGGCTCTAAATTCCTAAACATGGTGTGGTGTCAGCACTGCTCACTTCATTTCTGATGGATTGCAAGAGACACAGAGATGGTGACAGCGCTGACCAATCAGAATTCATCTGGTCCATCCTGGAAGAGCTGACAGAGAAGAGGTACAAGATCAAGGAAATAAAATCCCCAGTCTGCTGGTGTGGCTGCAGGGGTGCTGCCAGCTCAACAACCCCAGAAGTATATATAGCCAGGACTGGGGGAGAGGGTGTCTGGTCTTCACCTATACATTTAGTTCTGCAAAAGGTTAGCTAACACTTTACTTTAAAGTCCGATGACAGCTGTTGCTCTGTTCCTCCTCTCTAGTGACGGAATGTGGCAAGGTATTCCTATATCATAATGTATGTGGTGGCCACTGGTCCTGTACTGCATGTGATGATGCAGTTAGAGGGCTAGTGAAGACTGGAAAGTAGGGTGGCTTTGGAGGATTGACCATTTCCAACTGGAGGGAAGGAAGATCAGAGGGCCGTAAAAGAGAAAAGGGAGATGGGGGGGATGAGAGATAGAGGATGAGGGGGGTAAGAGAGAAGATGGGAGAGAGAGGCTTCTCTCACAATCTGTGACCATTCTCTGTAAATGCATATTGTCCAACCTGAACATTCTTCTTTTATCTATATCCTTGCCACTCTCCTTTCAGATTCACTTTCCTTCACTTCTGCCCAACGCCATTTTCTTCACTGGCCATTATAGGGAGGAGCCTTACCCGGCTCTATTTGTGACAGATGGCAAGAGATGTGGGTACCAGTGATTACAGTACCTGGATGCTGGGCGCTAGCAATGCTACTGGCACCCCGCCCCTACACATTATCCTGTGTCTGGGAGAAGGAGTATGATGGCTGGGCACAGCAGCCGGGGTGGAGTCGGATGGCTTTTAGGGAGGGTAGGAGGCAACCGAGATTTGCAGCACCCCCCTAGATTGGCAATGATGCTCCCATGGGGCCCCCTACAGGACTGCAGTGGGGTGCTGAGCGCCCCTGGTGTCACCCTTCTGACAGGGGTCACCTAGGTGCGGTTCACACCTCCCGCACCCTTATGGTGATGCCACGGACAATGGATTGTACGTGATTATTTGCAAAGGACTGCATAACACTTCAGATTTGTGCTACATGCATAGAGATTGCAAGCAAGTAATTTCAGGTAATTGCACTACCAAAAATTGTGTGCATTTTGCCTTAAGCTGGCCATTATTTGCAACTAGTAGGAATCATGCATAGAATTGCAAAATGATCACCAAATACTAAGTGGCTTGTAGGCAAATGTAGGTTGACCTCCCTACACAGATGTCGCTGTTGTGACCACCCTGCAGGGAGAATGGCGGAAAGGAGTAATGACCTTTCCTTTTAGACCCCTGTATGGGTCATCGGGTGGGCTGCTGTCCGACTATACACTGCCACCCGGGTGACCCCTGCGGTCATCTTTAGTGGAGCACGGTTGATAAAAAGCACTGTCTCACTGCTGCTGGCGTGCAGTCTGTGCATGGCTAGGTTAGGGACAGGAACCTGCTTGACAGGGAGAGTGCCAAGCGTAGGAAGAGGTTCCAGAGGAGGAGGGACAGTATAGGGACTGTCAGAGCTTCTAAAAAGGGGAACCTTTCCACTACTAGTTCTGCTGCATCTGCCTTACAGCTACCCCCTCTGCACCAGGTGCAGCCAGTCTCTGTGCATTGCTGTCTGCAAGTACCATACACAGGGGCGGACTGACCATTTGGAAACTTGGGCACTGCCCGAGGGCCCGTTGTCAGTAGGGGGCCCCATGAGATGCCCCTGGTACCTTTTTCATAGGCTTTTTTGAGTTTGGGCAAGGACACATGGGCCCATGATCCCCTATTGCCCGGGGGCCCCATGAGTTGTCAGTCCGCCCCTGGTAACGCATATTCTGTGAGTGTTTCTGCCAGTCCTAAGCTGCTGCATACACCTTTATTGTATGTTGGAGCTTTGATAATACAAGTTCTGAAAATTCAACCACTGTGTGTGCCATGCCTACACTCTGATTTATAAATGGTGAGCAAATATCACGATCCAGCTTTACCACAGTGCAAGTCCTGCATTTACAGCCCATTCTTAAAATGTGGGACACTGTGCAGAGCCCCACAAAATTTATCCAGCTTAATTATATTATTATTATATTATACAGGATTTATATAGCGCCAACAGTTTGCTCAGCACTTTACAATATAACGGGAGACAATACAGCAACAATACAGTTCAATACAAGAGGGATAGGAGGGTCCTGATCCTGGGAGCTTACAAGCTAAGAGGGAGGGGCTAGTGGTACAAAAAAGGTAATAACTGTGGGGGATGAACTGGTAGGAGGAATAGAAGATTCCATTATTAGCTGAGGGCAGGAGAGAGCTCAGTGACTGGAAAAGAGCTGGTCATGTGACTTTGACAGGTCACGTTGTAACCAGGCTCTACTCCCGGCTGTTCATCTAAAGTGGTAGTAAATCCTATCCGGTAAAAAAAAAAAAAAAACCCACACAGGGTTTTTATAACAGGAGAGACCCTAGAGGACTCTGTGATAAATGGCCCCCGCGCCTGTCAATGGGTATGGTGATCCGAGCTGAGCACGTGCAGCTCAGACCGCATTTATGGCCTGCTCTGCGAGCCACAGTGAAGTGACTCCCATGTGCATGCACGGGAGTGAGGTCACCGCAGCAGGCCAGTCAAGTGGCTGAAGATGTGGAACCCTGAATTAAGACTGGGTTAACATGGAAGCACTATGGAAGCAAAGAGCCATGACAGCCCAGAGCTGGATGGCTCCATCTGTAGGCACGTCTCTCATAATGTACTAGTATGCAGTGCCTATTAGTATATTATGACTTAGACCTTCACAGGGACTATTTTAATGTAATCCCTAGAGTTCACTACCATTTTAACCATTAGCCGCCCAGCCTACAGCCATTTGGCGGCCGCAAAAATGCTGTAGATTTCCGGGGTATACGCCATTTGGCATCCTCCGCACATGCGCAGTTCGCGCGGTTGCAGAGCCGCGTGATCAGTCACTGGCCGTGTACCTCGGACACGGCCGATGACAGATCTGAGTACCTGCCCCCGTTGCCAGTACCATGTGACCAATCACAGCAGGTCACATGACAGTTGTATACAATGGATGGCTTCATTCATTGTATACTAGTGCCTAGCTGTGAATGGTCACAGCAGGTCACATGCACATATCATGTGATTAGCTGTGGCCAAATCACAGCTAAGCACAAGAAAAAAAAAAAAAAAAAAAAAAAAAAAAAAAAAAAACAAACTGATCACTTTCCCCAAAGTAGTACAATGTTACTATGGTAACATTGTACTACTTTGGTCATAAAAAATGAAAAAAAAAAAGATTTCATCTTTTTTTTTTCATATTTTACATTTTCTGAAAAATGACAAAAAAACAAAAAAAAACAAAAACAAAATCAAAAAACTCGCCATTCCTACTTATAAGAGTACGAGTTTTTTTTGGACTGTCTACTCTGCAAGAAGGGGTCATTTGGGGGATATCTGTACTGTTCTGACATTCTTGGACCTCAAGAAATTAGATTGGCTGTCAGTACTTCAGGACTGATCAATATTCACATCTATCCCATAGTTTGTGAACTCTATAACTTTGCTATAAACTAAATAATACATCCTAATTTGGGTTATTTTCACCAAAGACATGTAGCAGAATACATCTCGGCCTAAATTTATGAAGAACAATTATTTGTAAACTTTTATAACAGAAACAAAGAAAACATGTTTTTTTTTTTCAAAATTTTTGGTCTTTTTTTGTTAATTTAGCAAAAAATAAAAACCCCAGCGGTGATAAAATACCACCAAAAGAAAGCTCTAGTTGTGTTAAGAAAATGATAAAATTTTAGTTTGGGTATAATGTTGTATGACCGCGCAATTGTCATTCAAAGTGTGAGAGCGCTATAACCTGAAAAATGGCCTGGGCAGGAAGGTGTAAAATTGCCCGGTATTGAAATTGGTTAATGGTGCCCTGCCAGATTCCGCAAAAAGCTGGAGAAGCTCCAAGCACATCTATAAAAGCATCTTGACCATGGTAAGGCTATTGAAATCAGTCCCCAAGTCTACTACCCACAAGTCTGACTGATTCTGAAACTGCTCAATATATTTCAAACTAGAAAAGCTACAGTTTCTGGGGAAATTGTGTGAAGTGTTCTTGCCATCACCAGTAGTCTACAACTCACACTCTAGCTTTTGTCACTCTGCTGCCTGCTCACACACCTGGGTGAGTTCCTATGGCAACTCACTCTACAGCAAGGGCAGAGAAGAGCCGTTAAAAACAAACTGCTCCAACTTGCTCACTTCACTGGCGGTTGCCATCTTCAAACGGTTGTAGTTTAAAAATTATAAATCCTACACTGAAGAGCTTTATATTGTGAGAATCACAAGACCCAGACCTACATTTTGATGCATAGTATGTCTCTGAAATATTAAAAATGAAGGTAGTCGTAGTCTAGAAATTGCAGGTGGCTAGAGTGGAGTTTCAATGAATGCCAATGGGCGTTACAAACAAATGGTCATATTGTGAAAACTATCAGGACTATGGCTTAGCCGTGGACATTTGTAGTGGCAGCAGGGATGGTTATGGCTCCTCACCTTGGTAATGTCAAAAGGATTAAAAGGCATGTTTTTGGCTTGCTCGAAAGTCATGACCTGATATATATAAATTCCAAGAAGGGAAGTCTCCTTTGTTGATGGCATCTTCTAGATCTTTAATTGCATAGTCTGGATTCGTTCCAGAAAGAAGTGTCGCTTGTTCACTTGTTAGATTTTTTATACCTTGATTCGTCTGAAGAGGTAAACAAGAAAGCACAGAATTGTGAATTATTGCAGATGTCGTCAACATTAACTAATACACACACACCTCGAAAAATTAGAATATTGTGCAAAAGTTCATTTATTTCAGTAATGCAACTTAAAAGGTGAAACTAATATATGAGATAGACTCATTCCATGCAAAGCAAGATAGTTCAAGCCGTGATTTGTCATAATTGTGATGATTATGGCTTACAGCTCATGAAAACCCCAAATCCACAATCTCAGAAAATTAGAATATTACATGCAATCAATAAAACAAGGATTGTACATAGAACAATATCGGACCTCTGAAAAGTATAAGCATGCATATGTACTCAGTACTTGGTTTGGCCCCTTTTGCAGCAATTACTGCCTCAGTGCGGCGTGGCATGGAAGCTATCAGCCTGTGGCACTGCTTAGGTGTTATGGAAGACCAGGATGCTTCAATAGCGGCCTTCAGCTCTTCTGCATTGTTCGGTCTCATGTCTCTCATCTTTGTCTTGGCAATGCCCCATAAGTTCTCTATGGGGTTCAGGTCAGGCGAGTTTGCTGGCCAATCAAGCACAGTAATCCCACGGTCATTGAACCAGGTTTTGGTACTTTTGGCAGTGTGGGCAGGTGCCAAGTCCTGCTGAAAAATGAAGTCAGCATCCCCATAAAGCTTGTCTGCAGAAGGAAGCATGAAGTGCTCCAAAATCTCCTGGTAGACGGCTGCGTTGACCCTGGACTTAATGAAGCACAGTGGACCAACACCAGCAGATGACATGGCTCCCAAATCAACACAGACTGTGGAAACTTCACACTGGACTTCAAGCATCTTGCAGTGTGTGCCTCTCCATTCTTCCTCCATACTCGGGGTCCTTGGGCCTCTCCATTCTTCCTCTATACTCTGGGTTCTTGGTTTCCAAATGAGATGCAAAAGTTGCTCTCATCAGAAAAGAGGACTTTGGACCATTGAGCAACAGACCAGGTCTGTTTTTCTTTAGCCCGGGTAAGATGCTTCTGACGTTGTTTGTTGTTCAGGAGCGGCTTGACAAGAGGAATACGACATTTGAAGCCCATGTCCAGGATCAGTCTGTGTGTGGTGGCTCTTGATGCACTGACTCCAGCCTCAGTCCACTCCTTGTGAAAGTCCAACACTTTTTAATGGCCTTTTCCAGACAATCCTCTCCAGGTTGCGGTCATCCCTGCTGCTTGTGCACCTTTTTCTTCCACACTTTTCTAACTTTCTATTAATGTTCTTTGATACAGCTCTTTGGGAACATCCAACTTCTTTTGCAATTCCCTTTTGAGGCTTTCCCTCCTTATGGAGGGTGTCAATGATGGTTTTCTGCACAACTGTCAGGTCAGCAGTCTTTCCCATGATTGTGATTCCTACTGAACCAGACTGAGAGACCATTTAAAGGCTCAGGAACCCTTTGCAGGTGTTATGGCTTAATTAGCTGATTAGAGTGGGACACTTAGAAAATGAGAATATTGTGAAAAGGTGCAATATTCTCGGCTCAGAGATTGTGGATTTGGGGTTTTCAAGAGCTGTAAGCCATAATCACCACAATGACAAATCACGGCTTGCACTATCTTGGGGTCTATGGACTGAAGGGGTTTAAAGAGAGCTAAAAAATTGAAAACTCTCCATAAGATCGCATGACCAATGGACCAATGTCTAGGTATGGAAATCGGATGACCTTATCAATTTTTTTTTTTTAACAGTTTTTTTTTTTTTAATAGTTACTGCAAAGCTTTTTAAACCCACAACAGCAAAACCGGTATATCTGTATATGCAGTAAAGCAGGCTTCTTATAGTCACCGTGAAACCTAAGGGGTTAATCCTCCGCACTATGTAAAAAGGCTGTTTGATCCTGTAATCTCTGATCCTCCCCTTCTTCCACAGTCCCCCTCTTATCTCCTGATAAGAGATTGGGACAGATTTACTGAAACTGGTGCACTGAGAATTTGGTGCAGCTATGCATGGTAGCCAGTTTCTAAATTTAGCAGAGTTTTAGAGTAAAAAGGGTTGTTTGATCCGGTCTTCTCTGATCCTCCCCTTCTACTATCCCAAATCCATCTGCTGATAGAACAAAGCCTTGGGGGCAAGTTGCACATGCTCAGTTTGGTGCGTATTGCTAGAAAGTTTTACTTTCTTTGGGAGTGCATGTGATCAGAACAGGGCCAATGAGCACTGTCCAGACAGACAGAGGGTCAGGGGTTATGCAGCCTCATAGGACAATCAGTGGAGAATGAAAACTCCTCCTACAAGCTTTAACCAGTGCTCTGCTGGACACTGATACGTCAAGAGTGCTATATACTGCTGATGAGAAAAGTTATGTAGCAGTTTTATATTTACTAAAATAATTGCACTTCCATGTTGGGTGTACTGTGGGAGACCAGATATATAGTGGATGCAGGGTCCGGGGAGACCGGATAAGGTGAATGCAGGGTCCGGGGTTTAGGAACACTTAAACTGCTCATGATGGTAAGGAGACAGGATGATCAAGATTGTTTATATATATTAGATGTGAAGTGAACATTTCCAAATTACGATTTAAAGAGAGCCCTTCCTCCCTCCCCCTCCAGCACTTTCTACTGCAGGTTTTCTCAACATTTTTAACCCAGAGGAACCTCTACAATACATTTTCTGGTCTTGGGGAACACTTACTAATATTGATTAATCAGGGGTCAATGGGAAAAGTTACCTCTCCAATCAAATGGGAGGCCAATCAGCCACAGCTCAAGGAACCCCCAGAAATCTCTAGAAGAACCAACACTAGGGTTCCACAAAGACCTGGGTGAGAATGGTTGGCCTAGTGGGATGCAAAAGGAATCGAGCTTGACAGACCCAGCCACCAACTTCAAAAATTTGCAGGTAAAAGCAAAAGGACAAAATTTAAATACTTGCAGTGCTTTTCCGTTCCATAAACAATTTTTGTATTCATTTGCAATATGCCAAAAAATTAAACTACTCCAGTGAAGAGGTTTTGAAATGGCACTGCCGCTGATCACCCATTTATTACTGCAGTCATGGACACCATTGAAAGTGGTAGAAGGAGGTGTTAATCTTACTGCCACTGACCACCAATGTCGGATGGGGTAAAAAGGGCATAAACAGCATTGCCACTAAACACCAATGAAGGGGGTTTGAAATAGCACTGACACTGAGCACCAATGCAGGGCCTGTTACTGCATTCACGGACACCGATGCTGGGGGTTAATATTGTGGTGACTAACACCAATGCTGGGGGTTATTACTGCGGTCAATGACACCAATGCTGGAGGCTATTATTGTCTGACACCAAGGCTGAGGTTTTTACTGACACCAATGCTGGGAATTACCAATACTGCCACTGCCACCAAATGAGCAGTCTTATTTTACTCACACTCTTTTCAGTGTGTGAAAAATACAGCAGGACTGAAATTTTCAAACACTGAAGTGCATTACAGCCCATTCATTTTAAATGAGCTACCTAACTCAATGCAATATACTTCAACACATGAAAACAAGCTGCTATCTTGTGGTCCTCTGGAAGTGTCAGGACCCACATTTCAGACCCTCTATAATTTTCAAGTTGCCCACCCCTGCTATACTGTGTCAGATGAGTGATAGCTGTGAGGCTGCTAACATCACATTCAAAATGGCGGTGACCAGCACCAGTCTTTGGACTCTTCGATATCTACATAAATTCAAACATTTACAAGGGTAAAACAAAACATCTAAAATACAATAAATGCACAAATCATCTTTTAGGAAGAGTTTTGCTGAAATGAATGGTCTAGCGACAGGGTCTTTAAAAAGAGTAAATTCATATTTTGTTTATTGCATTGCAAATGTACAGTGCCTTGAAAAAAAAAAAAAAAAAAAAGTATTCATACCCCTTGAAATTTTCCACATTTTGTCATGTTACAACCAAAACACATAAATGTATTTTATTGGAATTTTATGTGATAGATCAACACAAAGTGGCACATAATTGTGAACTGGAAGAAAAATGATAAATGGTTTTCAAAATGTTTTACAAATACGTATCTGAAAAGTGTGGCGTGTATTTGTATTCAGCCACCTTTACTCCGATACCCCTAACTAAAATCTAGTGGAACCAATTGCCTTCACAAGTCACCTAATTAGTAAATAGAGTCCACTGTGTGTAATTTAATCTCAGTATAAATTCATCTGTTCTGTGAAGCCTCAGAGGTTTGTTAGAGAACATTAGTGAACAAACGGCATCATGAAGGCCAAGGAACACAACAGACAGGTCAGGGATAAAGTTGGAGAAGTTTACAGCAGAGTTAGGTTATGAAAAAAAATATCCCGAGCTTTGAACATCTCACAGAAATGGAAAGCGTATGGCACAACTGCAAACCTACCAAGACATGGCAGTCTACCTAAACTGACAGGCCGAGCAAGGAGAGCATTCATCGGAGAAGCAGCCAAGAGGCCCATGGGAACTGGAGGAGCTGCAGAGATCCACAGATCAGGTGGGAGAATCTGTCCACAGGACAACTATTAGTCGTGCACTTCACAAATATAAAAAAGGAAGAATAGCAAGAAAGCCATTCGAGGTCCAGTTTGCAGTATGCTACAAGCCATGTGGGGGGCACAGCAAACGTGTTAGAAGGTGCTCTGGTCAGATGAGTCCAAAATTTTACTTTTCCCGCCTAAAAGCAAAACGCTATGCGTGGAAAAAAAAAAAAAAAAAAAAAAAAAAAAAAAAAAAAACACCACACACACTGCACATCACCCTGAACACACCATCCCCACTGTGAAACATGGTGGTGGCAGCTTCATGTGGGGATGCTTTTCTTCAGCAGGGACAGGGAAGCTGGTCAGAGTTGATGGGAAGATGGATGGAGCCAAATACAGAGCAATCTTAGAAGAAAACCTGTTAGAGTCTGCAAAAGACTTGAGGCCAGGGCGGAGGTTCACCTTCCAGCAGGACAACGACCCAAAACATACAGCCAGAGCTACAATGGGATGTTTTAAAAGCATATTTAATGTGTTAGAATGGCCCAGTCACAGTCCAGACCTAAATCCAATGGAGAATCTGTGGCCAGACCTGACAATTGCTGTTCACAGACACTCTCCATCCAATCTGACAGAGCTTGAGCTATTCTGCAAAGAAGAATGGGCAGAAATGTCCCTCTCTAGATGTGCAAAGCTGGTAGAGATGTCCCCAAAAAGACTTGCAGCTGTAATTGCTTGTAACATGACAAAAATGTGGAAAACTTCAAGGGGGAGGAATACTCTTTTCAAGGCACTGTATGATTATAACCTTGAGGGGAAAAAAAAATAATAAAAAAACAAAAAAAAAACAAACAGTCTTGCTATGAACTTTATTATAGTCTGTATTAGAGATTCTCCCTAACTTCCAATGTGGTAAAGCTGTTGTCATCAGGACAGGTCAGGAGGTGAGAGGAAATTTCTCCAATTGAGCCCCAGACAGCAGTAAAATCCAGGACAGGAGTTCTAATCCTTCACTGCTCTTATCAAATTTGGAAAAAGGTTTATGGCATTATATATAAAAAAAAAAAAAAAAAAAAAAAAAAAAAAAAAAAAAAACACACTTTAAAGAAAGTGCCACGTAGTTACATTTTTTGTATTTGCCATATACAGCAAGTACTCACATTGTAGACAAATTTGCAGTATACAGCTCCTCCATGTGCATTGAGCAATTTAAAAGCATGGATTCCAAATCCGTGCATGAATCGAAAACCATCAGGGGTACCACGATCAGTAAATATCATAGTGACCTACAAAATTGAAAAGAGATTAGTACATAAAATCATCTCCTAACATGGAAATGTACTTCTCCATTAAAGCAGACCTGGCATTGTGATGATGGAGAAGTACACCCTCCAAGATACAAGAATGGACCCCACTGCCACTTCACTTTTGCAACTCTGAGAACTCAGGTTACCACATCAAAAATTTGAGTAATTCAATTTAGAGAGCAAATAAGAATGCTCTACTGTAATATTAACATGTGTAGACAGACAATCGGGGGACTTGTTTTACACTCTCCATAAGTGTTATTTATAGTGGTATTAAAGGCAGATTATTATTTTTTTTTCCCCATGTCAAACATATTATGCTTGATTTGTGTAATTGTGTTGCACAGAGCAGCCCTGATCTTCCATTTCTCGGGTTCCCCGCCGGCACTACTGGCCCCTGCCAAGTGCCCCCAGAGCAAGCAGCCGCCTATGGGGGCACTCAAGCAAGCTTGCTCCAGAGCCACTGCTGTACATGTCCATCCACACACAGAGCGTGGTTTGGGCCCCCCCTCTCTCCTTATTGGCTCACCAACTGATTGAGTAGTAAGCTCCTGCTTCTGTCTCAGCCAATGAGGAGGAAGAGTCCCCAGCGAGCTGCTACTCTTGTGCACGTCGCTTGATTCAAGTCAGGCTCAGGTAAGTATTAGGGGGGCTGCAGTGCACAAAAGGTTTTTTTACTTTAATGTATAGAATGCATGAGGGTAAAAACCCTTGAGCCTTTACAACCACTTTAAGCAAAGTTTACAAACAGGAACGAATGTGACTGCTAGTCTTCCTTTTGGAGTGCAAAAGTAAACGCCAAATCAGGAAGAAAAGCTGCACTCCATAAAAGTCACGCTTTTATGCAAGTTTAAATGATGTAGCGCCCTTCATGTTTAGCTAGGGGGTGCTAGTTTGTTTTTTTGGCAGGGGCTTTTTAGGAGCCTGGGTGTGAGTCAGCCAGGTTATGGCTGAGGGTTCTGCAGATTAGTTCTCTGATACCTCCCCCTGCACTGGAAGCTTGAAAAGTTAATGGAAGGCAGTGATCTGTGAGGCAGTGGGGAGGGGCTGATCTACATGCTCAAGGGACTCTGACCAATCCCCAGGCAGGAGACTTGGCATGTGGTCAGGGTGGCACTTAAGTATGAGAGAGCCTGATCAGCAGGGAAGTAGTGTGTTGGGTGGAAGATGGAGTGAGGAACCAGGGAGGGGGCCTACCTACTAGCAGGGAGCTGGAGAGGAGGATCTCTGTCTCAATGTCTGAGAGAGAGGATAGCCTGTGGAAAAGGGAAGGAGCCAGCCCAGTATCAGGCCTGAAGACAGCCACCAACCCACTAAGCTTTCAGGAGAAACAGTGAGTAATCCTACACCCCTTGGGCCGAATAAGGGGAGAGGGCAGTTAGGTGGAGAACCCAAACTAGCTCCTCATCTGGGACTGTTTCAAGTTGGCAGTTTCTTCTCAATACAGCTGGGTGAAGAGAAGGATTCATCTGGGGTCTGAGGAGGTACACTAGAGCTGGAACGATCTCAGAGGAGAGACTATTTTTGTCCATATTTTATAAAAAAAAACAAAAAAAAAACCTATCAATATAGTAAACTTTTTTGTGTCCATAAACAATATAAAAAAAATCACCCAAAAATTCATAAATCCTTCTCCACTTTCTGAAAAAAAACCTCCCTATAACTTTGATAATTGCTGTGCACCTCAAAAGATAGGATGGAGTCACATTGGAGAGGTGGGAATACAATGCAAGCCATTTCCAAAAACAAAACATTTTTGATTTTCCAATTAGAGACACTTAGACCAAAAAGGTGTAAATGTGGATTTTAATGGTTTTATTTCTAATTTTTTTTAGAATTCTTGATAATAGCAGTGATTTTAGGGAAATGATTAAATAAGCTCCCAGGATCAGGACCCTCCTATCCCTCTTGTATTGAACTGTATTGTTGCTGTATTGTCTCCTGTTATAATGTAAAGCGCTGAGCAAACTGTTGGAGCTATATAAATCCTGTACAATAAGGTTCTTATAGTTTGTATAAATAAAAGATTTTAAAAATATTAATGCTATATATTAAACATTTTTAATGATTTAAAAAGAATATACAGGTAGATTTAATGGAGTTTTATTATAATATAGGCCTTGACAATGATCTAGTGCTTTAGGATTAAGAAATGTAATATATTTTAGACAGATTTCATATTTTACCACTAGATGGCGTGGTTCAGTAGTTAAGTTTATTATGTCAGTTTTATAGTTTTCAATATTGCATTCTATTGGATAAATAATAGGGTAGGATATATTGGGTTGATATAGTAAGCATATTTAGTCCCCTGTTCTAAAATAATAGTTATACTTAGTATTGGTTACTTCATGATGAGATTATATGTGTAATACTCAAATATTACATCCCCACATTGGTCTTATAATAGTATATATCTATATTTTTAGTAATATACAAACAGGATACGCAAGGTGAATATGTATGTATAAGCTAGGCTGTATATTCCAGCTAATAGGGAGAGATAACAATTTCCTATACCTGATATCCTGAGTAAAAATGGTGGCAGAGGACTCGGAGTTAATTGTATGGACGTAGATAAATTGCAGCCGCCGTGTCCAACAAACACACCCCTTATGAGTAAGTCAAGGAAGTGACGAAACGTATCAAGGGAGACATTGGACATTACCCGAAGGAGCGGAGCGTCCATCTTTAGTGTGGGAAACACAGTCTGGCGTTCCTGGAAGCAGCTAGAGGTTGGAGTCATGGGAATTTTATACCTTCATACATTGTGCACTATATGGCTTTGTTCTTTCCCTCTATGGAGCATAAGGTTGCAGTAATGAAGTGAACATTTAAGGGATCTGAAGGCATCCATGCAGATCTTGCTGGTGTATATCCCTCTCTGGATTTTTATACTTCTATAAAGCTTGCATACTTTTTGCATCTGGTAAGGGTATGTAATTCACCCACTTAGAAGTGTACACTGAATGTCACCTAGAAGTGTATATAATAATAGTGCACAGAGTGTTTCACTATCACTAGTGTGGTCACAATTTGTGTGATTGGTGCACAAAAAAGAAATTATGTAGTAATCATTTGAGGATAATGCACTATTGAGTTTTCTTTTGCTTTGAGATGCATGGCAATTATCGAAGTTATACAGAGATTTTTTTCAGAAAGTGGAGAAGGAAGGATTTATGAATTTTTGGGCGATTTTTTTATATTGTTTATGGACACAAAAAAGGTTTACTATACTGATATGGTGATTTTTTCAAGAGATTGGAAAAAAAAGTATTTATGGACTTTTGTTTATGATATTCATATCTGTGCATAGTTGCCAAGGAGTTTGTCCTCAAGTTGCAGTTTCCTTGGGCATGCCATGCATCTCTAAACCTCGTCCAAGTTCAAAACACCAATCTCAAGGACTATTTAGTGACTTCGGAATGCAGGTGTGGAAGGAAATGCGTGTTGCCTGGCTGTGCAGCGCTGTAGGGGGGACCCAAAACTCAGTGACTCTTAAGGGGGTAGTGCTCCACTGTATTGCTGCAGAAAATCTGTGAAGTTAATAAACTAGCTATGGTGTCTGGCAGGGGTGCCTAGATCTTACAAATGGCCAGAAGGAATTACAAATATATTTTGGCAGGTAAGACAAAGACAATGTACCTCATGGAGGGTTTCTGGGCGAAGGCTAAAAAAATCCCAAAGTGCATTTGGGTCTTTTAGATGTGTCTGCGGGTTTCTCTTCTGAGCGCGTGAAAGAGATGAGAACTAAAAGAAGAAAACAAAAAAAGGTTAGATCTGAAAAGCATACATCCATCTCTTAACTTATATTACAGAATTAAATAAGGAAACTTGTACTGATAAAGCTAGGTGGGCTGGTATTGCTGACCTCTTCTTCTAGAAATTCTCATTTCCTGGGCGTTCTGCTGATCCAATGGCTTCAATGCTTTCCAAGATACTGACCAAACCTGAACAATTGAAACAGATCTGCAGGCCATGACTTTGCTGGGTCCTGTACTTTCTGAGTACAGGACCCAGCAGACAGTCAGCGGTCTAAATTTTCCAAGGTAAACAATGGTTTCCTGAATATTTCTCCAAGAAAAGATTTCCTTTCATGATATATTTACTACAAATAATGGAGAGGACATACCCCACCAGCAAATTGCCTGTAATTTCAAGCTAGACATCTTTGTCGCTGGTCATTTTGGTAGTTAAAGGTCAGTCCATCCTTAGTCCTCCTTGACTTACTAGACTATTGCTAGATTTGCTATTGGGGGGGGGGGGGGGCAAAAATACAGGATAAGTCACGTTTTTTGCCACCTGACAACCCCCCACCCCTGTAGCCTCCCTAGCGGTCTGATTATGTCCATATTTCTGTGCTCAAAGCAGTACTTTTTTGTATGGAAATATGTATTTTTTTACTGTAGAACTGTAATTTTTAGGAATAACTCACTGAAATCTGTCCGAACAAGAGTCTAGTAAACATCCTGGGTATGTAAAATTTGTAACATGAAATAAATTATAATTTAATAATCATGAAAAAATAAAATAATTTTAATAAACCAAAAACACTGAAATTTGAAAATATAGCGCCAAGTTCGCACATCGCTGAGCAAAGTCGCAAAATAGTTTTCAGTGTCTGATGAGGAATTTCCCCCACGAATCATTATCACTCAATTCTACAAGTGGTTCTAATTTACGATCGCTGTTCTCTAGGTGGTATAAAACCGCTTTTGACCTAAAAGGGACGCTTTTTGGACACCATGGACGTTTCTCAGTTTCCAGGCAGAAAACAGTAAAAATGCAGGCAGGGCGCCGGACAAACTGTATGTGAAATGCTTTGATACAGTAATGTTATACTATGTGATTTTAACGAATGTCACTTTTACAACTTTCAAATTTCCCGCCAGTTCCGTCCCCCGTACGTCCCGACGTCGCAGGGAACAGAACCCGGAAGACAGATACCGGCATCGGCCGGAGGACATTACAGGGGACACTGCAGGAGGGACATTGCGGGAGCGCTGGACAAGGTAAGTGAAGAAGAGATCCTGGAGCAGCGCCGCATGGTAAGCCCGAGTGTAGCTCAGGGTTACCGCTTGTGGTGCTGAAACTTTACCCCGAGCTACACTCGGGAATACCTCCAGGGAGGTTAAGCTGCAAAGGGCAGTGGAGGGGGTGTTTACATGCCGCTGCTACAATGCTTCACACAGTTGGCAGAAATGGGGCTAAATAGGTGGTGAAGAAGTGCCACAACACTTCCTCACTGCTTGTCAGTACCCTCTGGTGTGTGATCCAAACACGGATGGGGCTTCAGTGGCAAAGGATATTTAGACACATCTAACTCTACCCTTAAAGCAGAACTATAGGCAAAACTTTTTTTTTTCTTCATTTTGGATACAGCAAGGGAGGGTTATAGTCCAAGTCCTTCTCAGCATCTCAATGTCCTATATAACCACTATTGTGAAACCAAACATGGTATTAAGTCTTCTTATTCAGTGTTTCTTCCTACACATGTGATAAAACCTTCTTATTCCACTTGTTACCCTCAAAAGAAAAAAAATAGCTGCACATAGTGCATTATCCACGCTACATAATTTAATTTAAAAAAAAAGAAACGGACTTACAAATTTAGTGCCAAATGGTGCAAAACCACTTCTAAACGTCTGTCAGCCTTACTCTTACCCTCTATAAAACTTGGAAATGGGCTTAACAAATTCCAATTTCCTCCACATTGCAACCTCCTATTCCGCCCTCCTCTGCATAGGAGATACACCTCCGAAGAAATAAAATATAGTGTAATATCTTCTAAACAATTCCTAGATTGTAAGCTCCAAGGAGCAGGGCCCTCCTATCCCTCTTGTATTGAACTGTATTGTCTCCCATTATATTGTAAAGCGCTGAGCAAACTGTTGGTGCTATATAAATCCTGTATAATAATAAATAATAATAATAAACACTCTTGCGCTCCCCTCACTTCTCCACAAATCACCAGTGTTCGTGAATATACTCTCCACCTCATAGAGACCATGCACCTTACCGGATTATATAAATCCACCAGTATAGATGGGCATGGGCCCCTCATTCCTCAATTTTGACTTCTAATGGCATCAGAACAAATCAATATAGTGTAGTAGGCAATAGTAGAAATCTAGCCATTTGTTAAAAATGTGCACAAACGAAAATAGTGCCACAGCATATATCCCTGGTCAGATTTTGTATCCCTGGTCAGATTTTGTATCCCATTGTGGAGTTGGCTGGACGGCACTTCACAGTACAGATGGACAATGATCCAAATCACACTGCAAAAGCAACCCAGGAGCTTTTGAAGGAAAAGAAATGGAATATTCTGCAATGGTCGAGCCAGTCACCTGATCTCAACCCAATGAGCATGCATTTCACTTGAAGGCAAAAACTAAAAAAGGTAGAAAAGACCCACAAACAAAGAACTGAAGAGAGCTGTAGAAAAGACCCACAAACAAAGAACTGAAGAGAGCTGCAGTTAGAGCCTGGCAAAGCATCAGAAAGGAGGAAACCCAGTCTTTGGTCATGTCCATGGGTTCCAGACTTCAGGCAGTCATTGCCAGTAAAGGATTCTCAACAAAATATTAAAAATGCACATTTTATTTATGATTAGATTCAATTGTCCAATTATTTTTGATCCCTTGAAAAAAAGGGGGGGGGGTACTCTTAAGAGCTGTAATTCCTAAACCCTTCCTCCAATTTGGATGTACATACACTCAAATGAAACCTGAGAGTGTGCACTTTCAGCCCATATCCATTATATAACTATAGCTTGAATACGTTTTGGTCAATACCTGGGAAAAAAAAATTGTGCCAGTGTTCAAATATTCGTGGACCTAACTGTACAAGTACCTGCAATAAATCCATATATAAATTAATGAGGCAGTGATTGGCTGACCAATGACAACACTATCGGAAGGAGAGTGCTGGAGAGACCATAACAACTTGAAGACTCCAGGGAGGAACGAGCAGGGAGAATTTGGGCAGCAATGAAAAGTTTTAAAATACGGGATGTAGAAAACTCGAACTGCCAATGAATTGTAGAGGGAGGACAATTGTGCAGACACAAAGCACACTAACGTAAAATATTCTGCAGGTTGTTTGAGTGTGTATGGGGCCTATTGTGCTGATGGGGAAATCTAGCATGCATTCAGATGCACTCAGTGTGTAGCCGAGTCTGAGCTCCAACAGAGTTCCTCCAGAGGAACACTTGACCTCTTTCTAAGACAACTGAAGTATAACTAGAGGCAAAATGGTTTTGAACAGAGTGGAGATGGATTACAATACCTGTCTGGTCTTTTATTGCTAACTCTACCCATTAGGGAGATTCACCCTCTCCATTTGTCCTGTCTACCATTCTCAGTGATAGTAAATGAAAATCCCACATTTTCGGTTGTCCCCAGAAAAGTAGTTGAGGGGAAACCTTCCAATAGGAACACTATTTCTGGTGACCTGGGGGGACCCCCAAGAGATTCCCTTAATTAGCAGGGATTTCCCCTCACTTCTTGTTTTGGCTATAGGACTGGAAGTAAAGGGAACTCTTTACTAGTCCACAAGAATCATGTGAAGAGCACAGCTCTCACCATACCGAGTCTTGGACCCAGTCTTTGTCTACAGATGTGCAGTGTTGAATACATTCATTGACTTTACTCATGCTCTGGTAGCACCATGTACTCACCAACATGGGGTCTCTTAAGAAAAAAACTGGACTGTTGTTGCCAGCCAGGTCCCAGTTCCCTTGTTCTGTGTAGAATTTCACAGCAAACCCACGAGGTTCCCGAGCAAAGTCAGAAGTGCCAGACTCTCCACCTGCAAAGAGACAAAATGGTTTTTTAATCAGTCATCATTAAGATTACAGAAAACAGGTACATCTACAAGAAATGTCTAAATGTGCCATGTCTGTCAGACCAGAATCATACAGTTGTGGTACTTTATACCACATATATTAGGATGTGTTGTGTTAAAGTGGTTGTAAACCTCAGACATGAAATATGAACAAAACATATCCTTCAATAGAGTGTTCTTGTTTTGATTAAGAGCACTAAGTGTAATTACTGTCTGCTGCCTCATTCCTCTGCTATCAACATGAATCACTTTCAACAAGTTTTCCTGACACCAAGGAGACAAATGGGGACAGCCTGTGATTGACAGCCTCAGTTCTGACCATGTGAGTGAGCTGTATGAAGGAGTGTGTCCCTTCCCTCCAATCAGCCCTCAGAACTCTCCTCACTGAGCTCTGCAGTGCATGATTTCAGCTCTCTGCCTCCTGTTTTCTGAAGCTCAGACAAGCTTTAGAAAATTCTGAGCTTTGAATAGATGTAAAGCAATGAAGACAGATAAAACAGATACAACTTATGTAGGAGGATTGGTTTCATCTCTGTGTACTTCCTGAGGCTAGTCACTGCTATAGCTTTATGTTAGAGTTTACAACCACTTCAAGTCGGACCATTCTTTTTAACCTCCCTAGCAGTACGAGTATGTCAGTATTTCTGTGCTCAAAGCGGTACTTTTTTTTTGTAGGCCTGTCATTTTTAGGAATAACTCACTGAATTCTGTCCGAACAAGAGTCTATTAAACATTCCGGGTATGATCACATTTGAAACACGAAATCATAAATTATAATATAATAAATCATAAAAAAAACAACAATACATTTAATTCAATAATGTAATCAAACCAAAAACACTGAAATTTGAAATAGAGTGCAATGGGTTGTTAATGCACTCCTAGGCAGATTTTAACAGACTTAAACCTCTCTTCCCAATGCAGTGCACGGAAATGCAAAGCTGGTTTACATCTATGAATTATGATGCACTACCAAAAAAGTATTCCCCACCCAGATCTCTCGCCTCCAATCCTCCTGTCAGGGACCTCTGTCTTCGCCACGGCGCGCAAATCTGCACATGCGCGGATCGCCCAGGCACATCAATATGCGGGCATTAGGACCTGGGCATCCGCAATTGTGGCCACGCATGCGCACTCGGGCCTGGCACCAATGGCGGTGCAGGGTGCGCTATTTAAACTGGCCAGGCAATGTCCTCATTGCCGCAAGGTCTAGTTCCTGTTACCTGTGTTCCTGTAGTGTGTTCCCTGTTGCCGACCCTGCCTGTTCTGATCCATGCTGACCTTCTCCTGCTCTGATCCCCGGCTCGTCCCTGACCATTCCTCTGCCTGTCGTTACTGTTATTTGGACCCTCTGTTACTGAACCCGGCGTGTGACCTGACTACTCTTTGTCTGCTGCTTGGTACCGCACCTGTCCCCACTGTTACCGACCCGGCTAGTCTGACCACGCTCACTCCTGGCGGTCATCCATCCATCCCGCTCGGACCTGGACCTGTCAACCCCTTCACAGCAGGCTCATCCCTGGCATATACCCTCAGCGGGACCCCTCTACCATAGTTGGGTGCACCCAGGGGTCGCGACCTGGTTTCAGTCTTGCACCAAGTCTATCCCCACCATCAGGGGCCCTGGTGAAAAGGCAGACTGGGACTTAGACTCCGCGTCCCAGGGAATCCCGTTCTGTGGACCACTAGAGATCCCGTTGGGCGGAGCCTGACACCTCCGATGCACTAAGGACCCATTTAATTTAGACAAGACTGACTGCGCAGGCTGCTTGTGCAGGCTGATGAGGGGCAGTGTGATGCCCCGTTTCATGTTAATTTACATGAATTATTAGAGCTCTATAACCCGTGTCAATGTACTTGATAGCCTTTAGCTTCATATTTTTACACTTTCACTGATCTCTCCAGGGATGACTTTATCCCAAATGTGGAACATAATTCAAAAAACTGTCAATCAATATGGTTAATTGCAGCCTATAAACTCCTGCGGTTCAGTTCCCCATCCAACAAAAACTTTCTATCAGTGAATCACAGAATAAATAAACATGGAGCCAAAACTTGGTACAATGTCTCCCTCTAACGGTGCAGCTACAGATTTCAGAAAATCAGGAATTTTAGGAAATGCACGATTTTAACCACTTCCAAGTCTGGACACTTTTACCCCCTTCCAGTCCAGGCCAAATTTTTTGCGCTATCACACTTTGAATAACAATTGCATGGTTATGAAACACTGTACCCATATTAATTTTTTAGCATTTTTGAGACAGATTAAAAAAAAAAAATGTATTTTGGTGGTATTGATTCACCACTGGGATTTTTATTTTTTTTTGCTATATAAATGAAAGTCCAAAAAGTTTTTAAAAAAAAAAAAAATAAAAAAAAAAAAAAAAAAAAGTGTGAGCGTTTCTTATAAAATTTTGCAAATAAATAATCTCTTGGCCAAAAATGTATTCAGTTATCTTTTTAGCAAAAGAAAATAACCCAAATTAGTTTATAACCAAAAATTATAACCTTTCAAAACTTTTTACATTTCTAGATTATTATTTATGGGGTTTTTTTTATTACATACTGTCACCCTAGCAGTACAGTGTCACCATAGTGACACTGTACTATTTGTGGGGGGTTATGAAGATTCCCCCCCCCCCCACACGGATTGCTTTTACACCCATAAAAGGCTTTCTTGCAGCCATTGAGAAATATTGCGAGAGATTGGTCACAGCTTGCCACATGGTACAAGACTGTTGTGAATAGCCTTGTACCATGTGACAAGTAGTAAGCAATGATGTCAGAAGTAACATCTTGCTTACTACTCTGCATGTGATCACTGATTGGCCAATCAGTAATCACATGATCGGGACCTCACACAAAAGGTCCCGTACAACGATCGGTGTTCCACTGTGTCTGGAGTACACAGGGCATCAGATCGCGGTGCTGCATCGGGCAGGGAGGACGTTTATAAACAGCCACCCGCCCCTGCACTGCTCCCGTCTGGCCGTTTATATACATAGGAAGTGGTTAACAGTTTGTAGGTGGTCTGTCCTAGGGGTGTATTTACCACAAGGCATTTGCCTAGGGCGGCATTCTTCAGGGGAGCTGCAGCATTTTTCAGGGGGCATCGCTGCCCCTTCCCCCTCCCCAAAAGAAGGGATGGGAGAAGGGACACGGCATGGGGAACAGGTGGGATCTGAGAGGCTGCTTGATGGTGTACGAAGAGCCTGACTCTTGTTCCCGGGGATGTCCGGAGCTGTGAAAGTGAGTGAGTGTCTTCTCTCTCGCAGGGGTTGGGGACGATTTTTGTGTTGCCTAAGAAAGCACGAAACCTAAATACACCACTGGTCTTTCCAGTGGTGATCTAGGTCAGAAAGCACCAAGGGAAAACAAAAAAAGAAAAGAAAACTAATGAAGCCACCACATTTTTGGGGGTTTAATGCTGCTGTCATACAAAATCAGTGACAAAAAAAAAAAAAAAAAAAAAAAAAAAAAACCCGATAGTTCATCTATTAAAGTGGCAATGATTAGATGTGGCCAGGGCTGACAAATGTAATATTGAACTTACTATTATGTCCAATATTACTGAAACTTATAATAAAAATAAATTTAGGCGATGAGCCAGCATTGGCAAAAGATACGAGATGGAGCAAAAATGTGTGAATCCAGCCGGGGTATTTATAACTGCAGCACATCTTCGGAAATGTGTCCTCTGAGTGCACCAGTTTTAATAAACATCTTTTTAATGTGTATATCACCGCTGGGATCACAGTGATGGATACTCCTCCCCCGGCAATCGGATGACATCCCCACTGTCAAGTGTGAACTTGAAAACTTTGGGCAGAAAATCAATACTGTTGTGCCTAGCCTATACATTTAGGTTTTATTGTCTCTAAATAACTTACTCGTAGTAGAGAACCGCACGGCAATGGGTGTCTTCTTCCCGATGTGCTCAAACACACTGGCTTTACAGTAGTTGGTAATATCATGAGTCACTTCAAAATACCCGAATGCTCCTAGATGGGAAAAAGCACATTTCTATTTATTTATGTTTACATGTTGATCTTCCAGAAATCCAGTGTGCATATAACTTCCCTGGACTTCACCTATCCCCACCCCCCACCCCTCTTTGTCCCACTCCGCATGCATACTTTGATATTTTTCCTAACAAAATAGTGCTGCTGTTTTAACTCCTGTGTGTAAGAAATTGGCTCTTGGGAGATGTAGTTTTGGGTGTGAGGCTTGGGGGGGGGGGGGGGGGGGGAGCTGCACCACTAGGAATAAGGCTCCCACTAGATGTCCTTGCAACAGTTTTAGAAGCCTGGTGATGATGTCACAGAGCAACAAAAGTTCTTTATTTATTGCTGTATAAACAACATTAAAAGAAAAAAAAAAAAAAATGAATGTTGGAAATCAAGGTTCGGGGTTAAGTTGGATTATGGCTACTTAAAACATTTAGGTGACTTTGCACCAAGGTCATTTTCAAAAGATGTGTTCCCATAAAAATAAGACTCCCGTAACCATAGAAAACATCGGTTTAAAAAATTGGTAAAAAAAAAAAAAAAAAAAAAAAAAAAAAAAAAAAAAAAAAAAGCTATACACTGGGGAGATTTACTAAAGCTGGTTCACTCAGAAGCTTGTGCACCTGTGCATGGTACCAAATCAGCTTCCAACCTCAGCTTATTCAATTAAGCTTTAGCAATAACATCTGTAAGTGGATTGGTTTCCATGCAGAAGTGCAGCTTTAGTAAATAAACATTGAAGGTTCCTCAGGGGCGAATACTGATGTGAGTGACTGAAACTGGCTATAGAATGTGGTACTTCTATAGCTGTTGTAGAGATATGCCTCCAAATCTCCTCAGGGGCGGAGACTGATGTGAGTGGCTAAAACGGGCTATACAGGATGTGTGCCTATATAACTTGTAGGGATGTGCTTTCATAGCTCCTCAGGGGCAAGGATTGATGTGAGTGGCTAAAACTGGCTATACAGGATGTGTGCTTATATAACTGTTGTAGGGATATGCTTTCAAAGCTCCTCAGGGGCAGAGATTGATTTGAGTGGCTATAGAGGGTGTTTGCTTATATAATGTTGTAGGCATATGCTTTTACAGCTCATCAGGGACAGAGATTGATTTGAGCGGCTAAAACTGGCTATCGAGGATGTGTGCTTATATGACTGTTGTATGGATATACATTCATAGCTTCTCAGGGGGTGGAGACTGATGTGAATAGCTCAATATTCTGTGTAGTAAGCAGAATTTTATTTTAGTAAGCAGTAATTTATGTATAAAATAAATACAACCTACCTGTAAGCTGATTGGTTTCCATGCAGAAATGCACGAGATTCTGAGTGAACCAGCTTTAGTAAAAAAAAACCCGTGTGTGCTTGCGTAACTGTGGTAGGGATATACACTGCAAGTTCCTCAGGGGCGGATGCTGATTTGAGTGACTAAAACTGACTATAGAATGTGTGTACTTCTATAGCTGTTGTAGGGATATGCCTCCAAATCGCCTCAGGGGCGGAGACTAATGTGAGTGGCTAAAACTAACTATGGAGGATGTATGCTTATATAACGGTTGTGGGGATATGCCTTCAAAGCTCCTCAGGGGCGGAGACTGATGTGAGTGGCTAAAACTAACTATGGAGGATGTATGCTTATATAACTGTTGAAGGGCTATGCCTTCAAAGCTTCTCAGGGGTGGAGACTGATGTGAGTAGCTCAATATTCGGTGTAGTAAGCAGGAATTTATTTTAGTAATGTATAAAAGAAATAATAAACACATAAATACAACCTATTCCAGCACTCTAAGGTAGATCATTACACAATTTGGATGGTTGTTTCAGTCTGCCAACATCTACACTAAATTGGTATTAGATGGACTGATCATTTAACTGATCTGCTGACATGAACAGTTGATTGTCAGCATAGGAAAAAATGTAACTACAGTTGCCATATAATTATAATGGTTTTTGCCTGTACAGAGATACATGTAATAAGGCATATAATTAATGACACGGTAAGATTATGCCATCAGGAGTATCAATAACATATTAAGAGATTAGGCAGTCTGAGACACCATTATAAAACATTTTTACATATTGTATTCATGGCCAACTTCAGATCTGTCATCATTCTGATATGCCTAATACAATGGCATGCCGTCTACTGCATGACACGCCAGGATTTTTTTTTTTTTTTTTTTTTTTAGAATATGCATTGCAGACGTCTCCCTATAGAATTTGTCAATCCCCCTCCCTTTGTTTCAATAAGTTCACACCCCACTTTGTAAGTGTATAATATGTTTTATTGTTCAATAACAATGTATAGAACCCCGCCACTCTTTCCTTGTTGACACATTTTGGGTTTACTTGTAGAAATCCCAGTGACTAACTCCCAGATAGGGCAAAACATAGTTACATAGTTAGATGGGTGTGGGTTTTTTTTTTTTTTCCCCAGCCTATCTAGTTCAACCAGTAGAAAAAAAACAAATAAAAAACACCCATATACAGAACTCTATACCAACAGTGGACACACACACACACACACACACACACACACGTTTGCTCCACCAAGGAGGAGCAAATATTCCTTCCTGATCCTCCAGAGAGTAAATCAGATTTTCCCTGGATCAACAATACCTATAAATGTTAAATATCCAGTTATATTTTGTGCATTAAGGGATGCATCTAGCTTTTTTTTTTTTTTTTTTTTTTTAAACAATTAAACTGAGATGACAAGAACTAGTTCCGGAAGGAGCTTATTCCAAATTTTCACAGCTCTAACTGTGAAGAAGCCTGTCTGTATGCAGAAGTTAAACCCCCTGTCCTCCAGATGTAACGAGTGCCCCCTTGTCCTTTGTAATGGCCTTAAAGTAAATAACTTTACACCAAGTTCACTACATGGACCCAGTGATCATATCCCCTCTTAATTGCCTCTTCTCAAGAGAATTCAATGTTCAGCTATTTTTCCTCATAGCTCAGCTCCTTCATACCTATCAGTTTGGTTGCCTATTTCTGCTCTTTCCAGTTCTGATTTTCCTTTTTGTGAACTGCTGCCTCAAACTGAACTGCATATTCCAGATAAGGTCTTACTGATGTAGCAGCCTCCTAGTTAGGTGCTAGGTTAGGTAAATTTAATTTCTAGCTCCACTCTAATCAGTTGAGCTGCTTGTGATTATTGGAGGCTGTTGTGTCTCACCGGAGGCAGGTTTGATTGCTTTCCTCTGTTTTTTTGGATGATTCTGAAAACTAGTGTGCTGTGAGAGTCAAATCAGCAGCTAAAAAAATGTATGCAATCCCAGCCAATCTCTGGAGCTAGGGCCCAGATGAGTTTACATCCATTTTTTCATCCATTCCGGGGTCTTTTGCGGAAGAAAGTGTTTTCTTCCGTAAAAAAATAAAAAAAAAAAAATATATATGATGTTAACAGATGCGGACATTAACAGATGTAAAAAATACATGGGGTCAGTTTTTCATCCGTAAATGGACAAAAGAAAGAAAGAAAAAAAAAAAAAAAAAAAAGACGGACATACAGAACGCCCGTGTGAAAGGGGCCTAAAGCTGTATCTTGACTTGTTGATTTATTCTTGAACTTCTGTAGCAAACTAGCGGGTCAGCAGAGATCCCCTGGGGTGGAGAGGCAGCTTGCCCCAATCCAGAAAAAAAAAACAAAAAAACAAAAACCACACAAAACCACACCATCTTAATGCTCATCAGAAAGACAGTCCTAGAGCCCTAGCACTTTACCTCCATTCTCCCCTGGATTACTTATGAAAGAATTATATTTTTCCCTTATCTAGACTTCTATTATAAACAGGAATATACAACTCAGCAGCAGGTGTGAGAACACCCAAAGCGGAGACAGAACATCCAAATGTACAAGATTCCTGGGGGAGGGAATACAAGACAGGTCCAATCTCATGTCTAGTTCATTGCCAGCGAGATTTGAGTTTCTCTGTATTCCCCAGGATCTTGTTGGAAGGAGTGTGACGTCATCCTCTCCTAGGTTTTGGAGCTAAAAGACGGGGGTAAGGTACCTGTATGTAGAAAAAGGTAATTTTTTTGGGCCCTTTTGCACATACTTAGAGTTAGTATTTTTAAAGGGGCCCAGACATTGTAGGCAGACCTTGTATTTTATGTCATGGTCCGCTTTAAATCTGACATGGTATTTGAAGAATATGATTCTCATAACAGTTGTTTGGTACTCTCTCATTTTGAGTATCCAGATATCAAAATGAAACATTTTTTTTGGCCCAATCATCTGTTAAGTCTTCAGTGATGTATGGATTAAGGAAAGAATGCATCCCACTGGTTGCCATTTACAATAAGAAATATCCTTCCTTCGGGAACCTACTGCAAGAGATGTGATTTTCTAGTGCAGTAGAACAGAAGGGCCTGGGGTAGACAGGCTTTGGACAAATGTAACATGGTTTTGACATCAGTTTCAGACACCTCTGGAACCATCCAAACCCACTGACAGTGTTTTCTGCCTCTGGCCTGCAGATGACCACCTGTTGACCTGCTTCAAGCTGCTTTTGCACCTTATAGACTTAGATACAGAGAAAAATCAGTTCTGAAATGAACACACGCCAATCAACACAGGCCGTATTTGAAAAAAAAAAAAAAAAAAGAGAAACCAATTGGGAGGTCACCAAGCCTCCTTGTGAGGTAAGAAGTTTGAGTTCTCACCAGCTCCACGGGCATGCACCACCCTCTCCGGGATACGTTCTCTGACAAAATGAGCCATTTCTTCCAGTAAAACCACATCCTGAAAAACAATCGGTCCTCTGGGTCCTACGGTCATTGAGCTGACCAGGTCTCCAATGGGAATCCCACTGGATGATGTCAGCATCTTCTTCTGCAAAGAGATGGTAGAATGCATAGGGTTATCTTTAAAGCAGAGATCCAGGCAGATGTAAAAGTCAAAACTAATGCAGCTGTGTATTCATTAGTACATCACTAAACAATTTTTAAATGCAAGTCATGCGAGTGCCTTAATCTGTATTAGTCTCATGAAGGTCCACTACCCAGCAGAGCTCAGCCTAGAAGGAGCCAAATAGTTGTCCTGCATAAATGTGTGCTAACAGAAGGAGAGTAAAGAATGACAAAGGGATGAGCAGATCAATCTGCAGCTTCTTCTTTCGATGTCCAGTCACCTGTAACAAAGAAAAAGCAGGCGTCCTGCCCTACCAGATAGGGCTGTGATTTGTGCCATGGCTGTTTAAATCTCAGAACTGGTTTGACAGAAATATAGATCCTTTGGCAGGTACAATAGCTTCCTTATATATACATAATTTATGCATTTAGTGGATTGCCTGGCGTTTATCTTCAATGATTGCACCAGCAGGAGCACACTTGGATACTGAGCCAGAAAGACATTGTACTTACAACTTCCATTTTCACACTCTTTACTTCTAATTTCTTGTTACACCAACCTGGATATATGTATTAGTTCAATTGGCAACCAAGTTTGACCACTCTGTCCAGTGGACTCTCTAATCTAAAAGACTTGGTCAGATATGCCTCCTTTGTATTTCAAGAGTGTGCTGGCTGCCTCGTGCCTGACCACCTGGGCTATACAGGACCTTACCTGATGCCTGCCCTTGATGTGTAGGTGGCAGGTGGAGATAGACCCCCTGTCCACCCTCCTGGCTGTGCAGCTTTGCCCCCTCATTCCCAGGGGTTCCAGACACTGGTATACCTTTCCCAGGTCCGACAACCAGGGAACATCAGTAGAACTCACTCTCTTCAGAGCAGCATTCTGACTGAACAAAGGCATCATGAGGCTGGATGTGGTTAAATGTTTTATTTGAAAGCCTCAATCACATGGCTTCAGTGGGTCACAGTTCCAACAGCAATGGACTCTTGGTCCCAGGTCCTGCCAGTAGCTGCTTGTGTCCCTGCAGAAGGCAATCACTCCCTGTGAGACCTGATGTTCTACCTGGGCTAAGGAGAGGAGAGACAGAGGGGCATACCAGCTTCCCGAGTCCTCTACTGCTTTCCTGGTCTAAATGGGGAACCGTGCCCTTCCCCAGGAGGGGGAGCGTAGGAGCTCAACAGGCAGATGTTGCCTCTTCCATTGCAGTCTGTCCAACTTCTCTCCTAGGTCCTGCCTAGTCTCCCAGACTTCTCTCAGGGGGAAGAGTCACCTTAAAATGGAACCTACTCTTCCACCTGCCTACAAGTGCTAGAGGATGCCTGTGATAAGAGGTGTGTGGGCCATGGTTCTACTGTCAGCCTAGAGCAGGTGTCTCCAAACTATGGCCCTCCAGCTATTGAAGTACTACAAGTCCCATCATGCCTGGGGGACTTACTGCGAGTCTTGCAAGGCCTCATGGAACTTGCAGTTCAACACATGGAGGGCCATAGTTTGGAGACGAGGGAGGGAGAGAGAGAGGGGGAGGGAGCGGGGAGAGAGAGAGAGGAGAGATTAGGGAGAGAGGAGAGAGAGAGAGGGAGTAGAGGGTGAGAGAGGGAGAGAGGGAGAGAGAGAGAGGGAGCGAGAGGGAGAGAGAGAGAAGAGAGGGAGATGAGAGAGAGGGAGAGAGGAGAGGGAGAGAGAGAGGGAGGGAGAGGGATGAGAGGGGAGAGAGGGAGAGAGAGGAGAGAGAGAGGGAGGGAGAGAGAGGGAGAGGAGAGATGGAGAGAGAAGAGAGAGAGAGAGAGGAGAGGGAGAGGGGAGAGGGAGAGAGAGAGAGGGGAGGAGAGAGAGGGAGGGAGGGAGGAGAGAGAGAGAGAGAGGAGAGAGAGAGAGAGAGGGAGGGATGAGAGAGAGAGGGGGAGAGAGAGAAAGAGGGGAGAGAGAGGAGGGAGGGAAGAGAGAGCAGAGGAGGGAGAGGAAGAGAGAGGGAGGAGAGAGAGAGGAGGGAGAGGAGAGAAGAGAGAGAGAGAGGGGAAGAGAAGAGAGAGAGAGAGAGAGGCGAGAAGAGGGGAGGAAGAGAGATCTGAGAGAGGAGAGGGAGGGAGAGAGAGAGAGAGAGAGAGGAGGGGAGAGAGAAGAGAGAGAGAGAGAGATGAGAAGGCAGAGAGGGAGCGAGAGAGAGAGAGGGAGGGAGAGAGAGAGAGAGAGGGAGGGAGAGGAGAGGGAGAGACGAGAGAGAGAAGAGAGAGGAGAGAGGGAGGAAGAGAGAGAGGGAGGGCGAGAGAGAGAGTAAGAAGAGAGGGGGAGATGGGAGAGGAGAGCGGAAGGGGGAGGAGAGAGAGGGAGATGAGGGGGAGAGAGAGGGAGATAGTAAGGGAGGGAGAGAGGGAGGGAGGAGGGAGAGAGAGGGAGAGAGAGAGAGGGAGAGAGAGAAAGACGTGAGGAGGAGAGGGAGGGAGAGAGGGAGGAGAGAGGGAGAGAGACGAGGGAGGGAGGAGGGGCTGGAGAGAGGGAGCGGAGCGGGAGGGAGAGCGAGGAAGATTCGGAGCGAGAGAGAGAGGAGAGAGGGAGAGGAGAGAAGAGAGACCACCCTCGTCTCGCCGGGGGAGGGAGAGAGATTGAGGGGGTAGGGAGAGAGAGAGGGGGAGGGAGAGCAGAGAGAGGGGGAGGGAGAGAGAGGAGGGGGAGGGAGAGAGAGAGGGGGAGGGAGGGAGAGAGGGACGAGGGAGGGGAGAGAGAGAGAGAGGGAGGGAGGAGAGAGAGAGAGAGGGAGGAGAGAGAGAGAGGGAGGGAGAGAGAGAGAGAGAGGATGAGTCCGGTAGAGGGAGGGAGGGTGAGGGAGAGAGGGAGGAGGGGGGGGAGAGGAGGGGGAGAGCGCTCAAACTAAGCATTAAAACATTTTGCCTATCCAAGGGGGATGAGAGATATTGGTGGCCCATATGTGGTTTGCTGATCTCTTAGATGGAGAGCAGTTTGCTCTGGCCTGCAGCCACCAATCCAACAGTCAGTGGAGCACTGACATACACCTTATAAGCTTGCCAACAGATTGCCCATTTTGGTGGGCAGGGAGAGCTTCAGTGTGTATAACAGATTAATGGGATGGTTCAAGGTGAGGGCAAAGCGGGGAAAGGTCTCCCATAGTTTGGAGTATGAGCAGGGCCAAAATTCTCTCAACCTGGAATCTTTGCAAGGCATGTAGAACATTTAGGGAGTGCCATTTGCTCCCCCCAAGGCTAGGGCAATACTGGCAAATCTCATAAATCTGCTACGGAGATATTTAAGGGTTTGTTGACATTTATCATCATCACACTGATTTCAACATGCTGCAAATTACAGGTTAAATCTCACGGCAGCATTCCATGTCAACAAGTTTGGCAAATCTCTGGACTATATATTACCTGGGAAAAATCCATGCTACTGTCACTGGACCTACTTCCTCCACTGCTGGCCCCAAATCTCTCCCATATTAGAGTAGCTCCTTCTATTAAGCATCTAGGAGTGACAAGGGTAGACTGACCATTTGGAAACTCGGGCACTGCCCAAGGTCAGTAGGGGGCCCCATGAGATGCCCCTGGTACCTTTTTCTTAGGCTTTTTTTTGAGTTTGGGCAAGGACACAGGGGCCCCATGTTCCCCTATTTCCCAGGGGCCCCATGAGTTGTCAGTCCGCCCCTGGGAGTGACCATCTCCCTATCACAATAAAAAACTTAATCTTCAGAATCTTCTCCCTCTCCTTACCAGATTCCAAAGACAAAGAAAAACTTGGTGCAAAGTATTCCTCTTGGTAGTGGTAGTGAAGTACTTCAAGAGGTTTATTTCAGTCCTTAAGAATCTGATATGGGAAAAAGACCTCCATGCCAAATTAAGTTCGATTTTCATCAACACCCCAATATGGAAAAAGACCTCTATGCCAAATTAAGTTCGATTTTCATCAAAAATCGAAGCAGAGAGAGAAGAATAGAACTCCTCTGCCAAATCCTGTCAGTGCAGCTGCAGTACCCCCTCATCTCTGCCTTCCCTGGTCTCAGCATTCAGCAGACTCTGGTAATTGACTGTGGTATCACCCAGATATGGCAGAGTTCCCCTTTAATCTAACATTTCTAGCAGCCTCTGCTTTAAAGCAGAGTTTTCAGCTCACTCCCCCTTCCTTATTTCCTGCGACTATTATGTACCAGCTCATAGCTGGGACCCTTATCTGCAGCTGCTGTCCAAGGTTATTCTGCAGAGTTTAGAAAGCGAATGTATGAATTGTGACATAATCGTTGGTCTATACACACACTTGAAAGAAGCTTTTTTTCTATAACTCACTTAGCAGATGAGAGCATAAGCTGTTGAGTCAAAACAGATAATGTCTGTTAATAAGTCAGTTGTATTCCTCAAGTCCGTGTACGGAGTTCTCTGGATTGCCAAAATTGCTACTACAATTCCACTCCTCCTCTGGTCCTCCTCCAGACCCTGCACTTTCTGCTTTCCAGCTCTGTCCCCAAAGGGGGTGTACAGAGATATTAGGGAGGATGTGGGATTCTTGAAAACTGATGTGATGGGGTGCTCTGGACAAGTAGTCTTACATATACAACCTTTGAGGGCAACAATAATGCAGATATGGCCCACGATGAAATGGTGTTTGACACCCCTGGCTTAACACCATCCAGAATGTCTGGTTTACAGGTATGAAGCAAAGCCCAAAGAGTGTCTGAAGTGATGCCTATTCCCTGTGTTTTGTTTTTTTTTTAGAAGAGTGAAAACCTTGCTGTGTTTTTTTTTTTTGGCTGTGTCCCTAATCGGGATTCCTCCTCTTTATCCTGAGGACCATTATCACTAAGACACTAAGATGGGAAATTCAACATTTTGCAGTTGTCACCAGAACAAGAGGTGTGGGAAAATCTTCCAAAGGGGACTCGTGTTCCAATGGCATTTGTGTAACCACTTGCCTGACCGCAGATAGCTGAATGAAGGCTTCACTGCGGCCGACCAGTTCTGGGAGGGAGTTATATGACG